TTATATGGTAATATGTTGTGACTTTAAAAGTGCAGACGAATGAAGTTTATATCTGAAAATATAAGTTGTGTATTGGGTTAATTTTGAGGTGACGAGCGCTTTGTGTCAGTATATGTTTTAAAATATACATAGCAATTTGTGCAAATACCAGAATGAGATCACGTGAGGTAGAAGTGGCTAAAATAATTCAGAGTGACTATACTTCTGGACCTCAATGTTCGTGAATGCTTTATATCATATACATTCTCTCAAGTAATATATTTCAAACACACACACACATATATATATATATATATATATATATATATATATATATATATATATATATATAAAAGCACATACACATACATACATATAAATATATATATTACTTCAAATGCTATATTAATGTATAATTTAATAAAGTAATTGTGTTTGCCGACAGGTTTCAAATCTGCGTTTCCTTTGCAAGAAAGAAAGCCACTGTCTGTAGAGAGTTGTTTCTCCTTCAAAGCAATTCGTGTAAAACGGGGAACGAAGGCTTAAAAAAACGGAGTTCATCACTTTGCGTTTTCTGGGTACGCAGCCGTTAGATATAATGCACACAGGGGTGTCTGTTTCAAATACAGGTATGCACTATAATAACATTTAAGTAAAAAAAATGACGGACTAAAATTTATTAATTCATTACATATATATATATATATATATATATATATATATATATATATATATATATTTAATTTTTTTTTTTTTATGTTTAACGTTCTTTTTATAGATACAAGTATTTAATCGTGCTCTGTTTATAATAAACAGTATTAAATAGCATTTACCGGCCTGAATGTCGAGAAAATTTTCATAGGCCGCTAAATGTTATTTAATACTGTTTACAATATAAACAGGCATTTACTTAAATACTGTATAAAACTTAAGCTATAAAATATCATAATAATAAGCCCATCCGGACTTTGACCATTTCTTAAATATATATATATATATATATATATATATATATATATATATAGAGAGAGAGAGAGAGAGAGAGCTAGCTAGCTAGCTAGCTAGCTATAGATAGATATTAATTGGTAATATATATATATATATATATATATATATATTAAGAAATGGACAAAAGTCCGACAATTTTAATTGTCTTTAATAAATAAATTGTCGGACTTTGTCCATTTATGTAATATATGACGTCATTTGTTTTGCATTTGATATACCCAAGCAGTTATGAATGTACGAAT